TTCATGATAGCACAATTAATCATGCAAGAGTGGATGTTTCAGTTTATTTTACATTGAAGAAAGATTACTGGCTTAGAGAAAGACAAATATCACATGATTTCACTTATATGTGGAATCTAACACAATAAACTGATAAATAAAACCAGAGACATGGAAACATGGGACAGACTGTTGAATCCCTGGGGCAGGGAGCACAAGGGGCCGCGCTCAGATGGTGGTCCCCAGGAGTCAGCGAGGAGATGGCACCGCGCCCGCTGCGGGGGCAGGAGGCATGGGGGCCTGGGCGCAGGCTCTGCCAGCACTGCTGTGAGCAGAAAGGTCAGCCGGGCCCAGTCCCAGAGCCAGGACGCCTGTCGGTGAACGGGCCGCCAGCACGTGATGCTGTCATTAAAGACTTTAGCGCCCGAGTGCAGACAGGGAAGGGCATTTGCTTAACCGGTTCATTCCTTTCAAGTCCTGAGCGCCCCCCGCACCAGGCGCTTTCCCAGGGATGCGTGACTCAAGCCCCAAACCCCTGACCCAGAGCCACTCTCACCAGAGAACAGCAGACAAAGGCCTGGCAGTGCTGAGCGCTGTTCAGGAGGAACGCAAAGAGCAGGGGCCGGCGGGCAGGTGCTGTCTTGGGGGACGGTCGGGGAGGCCAGTGAGCGGGGACGCGGGGCAGAGGCCGAGGACAGGGAGGGCCATGGGCCACGCCAGTCTCAGGGTGGAGCTCCCAGCGACCGAGGCCCCGAGCAAGGGGCATGTTGGTGGTGTTTCTGGAGCCACAGGAGCAAGTGGCGGGGCAGGAGGTGGGGGGTGGAGGAGGCGGCCAGGACCCCGCTGGAGGGTTCGTGGTGAGACCGCTGCCGTTCATCCCAGGTGACGGGAACGCTGAAGGCCGGGGGGCTGGGAGTGACGGCTGATTTATTTCTGGATGGATCACTCCGGCCTCGGGTGGAGATAGACTTGGGATATTTATGAGGCACCTGCCACGCGTGAGGCATGTGCTGAGCACCGTGGGGACGCGGGGATAAATAACCTGATTTCTGGTCGGGTCACATGCAACTTAGCTGCGGCGGACAGATCAGTAAACAGCCCCCTGGAATCGGGCGGATGGGATCCGAGGCGTAACGGGCGGTGGGACGTGTGTGTGAAGAGCAGGAGCCTGAACTATCATCGATGGGAATTCACATCTGGCTTCCGCTTCCCCGTTAGTTGACCCTCGGCCTCAGTTTCCTCATTTGTCGGTGGCAATCACGGCCGTAACACCCACGCCCTCGGGTGTCTGAGCCGCTGGGGGAGTGGCTGGTCCCGTGTGCGCCCCTCCGTGCGCCACGCCATGCCCACTCAGGGGCCACTGGGGACCCGGGCCCAGCACAGGATGCTGACCAGGCCTTTCCCCACGGTCTCTAAGCAGGAGTGACTCTTGTGCCTGTTACCCGGCACATGCAGACATTAACCGAGGGTGGGGCTCACACGGTTCTCTGCTGGAACTCTCCCTCCCTGAGATGTAGTCATAGTGAGGAAGCGTGTCTAGAACTGAAAGGCAGTCCCTCGGCACATCTCAGCCCCAGGCTGCTCCCCTGCGGCCTCCCCGCCGCCCCCACCCCGGCCCGGGGGGTGGGGGTGCAGAGCTGGCCTTTTCCAGCTAAAGCCGCGGCCCTCCACCTGCCAGACTCCTTGATGCCCGCCTCTCCGTGAGCCTGGAACTGACAGGACACCCCCCTCTGGGGCTCCCCTCCTTGCAGCCTTGAACACGAGCCCCCGTTTTGGGTGCCCTGCCGAGGCCAGGGTCCGGGGCAGCAGACTCGCCTGGGCACCAGGTATGAGAGTCTTCTGGCCCCGGTTCCTGACGCTCACCCCACGGGTGACGCCCAGCACGTCTCCAGCTGCCCCGTGACCAGATGTTGGAACTGCTCCCGGCAGGGGGGACCTTTGAGCCTGGGACCTTTCAGCAGAAGGAATGTCCTTTCCAGTGAAACCTGCTGTGAACCCACAAGGACAACGCCTAGGGGAGCAGGGCCGCTCTGGGGGGAGTCAGGGTGAGCCCAGAGCTGGGCTCACAGGGAGCTCTGAGGACCATGGTGAAAGGGCATCGAGATGGCCAATGCCTCGGGGATACCGGTTTTACCCTCATCTGTCACCCGTTTCACCCCACGGTTACTCGGAATTTTCCAAGGGACATAGAGAGCCTTTGAATTGTTCTAAACAGCGAATCGGGAACCCCCTCAGCCGGGAGGGGCGGCTGGTGTTACTGGAAGAGGCTCTGTGGGCCCTTCCTGGCCGCCACGGAAGGAGGGAGGGAGGGCGTGGCCCAGGTGGGGCCGCATCAGGGGACCTGGGAGCGATGCCTCCTGGGCCCCTGCCAACCCTGCCCCCTGGGCGCCCGGCTGCAGATCGACCAGCTGAAGCACCGGCTGAACAAGATGGAGGAGGAGTGCAAGCTGGAGCGGAACCAGTCCCTGAAGCTCAAGAACGACATCGAGAGCCGGCCCAAGAGGGAGCAGGTGCTGGAGCTGGAGCGCGAGAACGAGATGCTCAAGACCAAGATCCAGGAGCTGCAGTCCATCATCCAGGTGGGGGCGGGGCACGGGGGCCTGATGCGGGAAAGCTTCTTTACCGGACCCGCCCCACACAGCCAGGGCCTGAGCCGGGGGGCCTGCTGGTCCTCAAAGACCCAGAGAGACTCACCGTGGCGGGTTGGCCAGTAGTTAGAGCGCCGGCCCGGGACCAGAGGGCCATGGGTTCGATCCCCAGCCCCTATCAGGCTATGTGAGGGAGGCAACCAATCGATGTTTCTCTCCACCTCCCCCCCTCCACTCTCTAAAAAAACATCAACGGAAAAAATACCCTCAGGTGAGGATGAACCAAAAAAATCGCAAGATCCTCCACTGTCAGCCGTGCGTTTATTAACACTCTGGGTGCCCCCTGCCCCTGTCAGCACGGAGCACGGGGGACGGAGGGCGTCTCCGCGGAGTGACGGCCCAGCGCACACCTAAGGGAGGGAAGAGGCCGCCTGCCTCCCCTCT